AACATGGGTTTGCTCATTTAACAATCTCCAGTGGAATATAAGGTGAACCGTTCAGCGCGAAAGGAAATAATGATGATAAAGTCATAGGAAAAAGAAAAGAAAATTAACAATAGGGCCACTTAGCTGGTTGCTTTAGGCCTCGCTTCAGGTCCCATTCAGGAAGAAGTGGTGCGCAAGGTGTCCTGGATAGCCAATTGTCGTTTAGCAGCCTCAACCCTGGCAGCTGGTATCTCGTGCAGTAGGGGCTGTTTCTCAAGCATGATGAATATCCACTTGAGTTGGAACTCGGGTCGGAAGTCCAACACACCTTTGATGATATCCCAATCAGCCATGCAGGAATCAAAGGTGACAGTGGTGTCCAGCAGGAGGACTCCATATAGGGGAAAAACGAATATCCCAGGTGGAAGGTCAAACCCGAAGGTGAAAGCCCTATCAATGAAGATGACATTGGGAATAGCAAATCCCACAACTCTCTAAGACATTACAAGGATATTACTTACGTGGATGGTGGGAGGCTTTGAAGATGCTGTCTATTCGACAGGGCTGGAACTGGGAACGCTACACAAAAAAAATGGCCGGTCTGCAAGTTGAATCCGCACTAGGCGTTGGTGCGAGAATACTTGAACGTATCGGCTGAACACTCAACGCCGAACTCTTCAACAATACTCAACACCTTATAATATATCTCACGAGCTCCAATTCCTTCAAAAGAATTGCTTTGAAATTCTCGAGTGATATCACACAGCACGCACCATTTTTTGAAGTAAGTCCCACCTGTGGTAGCACCTGTTAGTACCTCGGAGTGGAAAGGAGCTCGAAACCATCCAGAAAGTTCTGAAGGACATAGAAATAGTATAGGGGAAAGGTTGCCAAAATGTATTGCCCCAGGATGAATTCCACGTAATGCTTTGAAACTATATCTCCATACTTCCAAAAATACATTTAAATAATTTTTAGATGGGCCCCATAATCAAGAAATCAAAGAGTCCGACAATAAATCCCTCTGTACCGCTACTGACTAGAGTAGTTCCAGCGCTCGTCAATGATATTGCTCGTACTCTCAGCGGTCAATGGCCAACTTCAAGTGTTCGGTCAAATGTCCAGTCGGCATAATAATGTATCGATTGCCTGTCAGACGTCATGCGTCGAGCAGGACAGTCCGTCAACCGAGCCGTCATCAACCTAACCTAATTTCTCAGCGGATCAAAACAATATCAAATGTTTGAAATTACCTAGTCGATTAATCATACTACGATTTCGAGATGACTGGAAACGACCGATGATGTGGTGAGTATTATTTTGTCCCTCGATACAGCTCTTGCTTCATTTTCAGGTTCGATTCAAAACATCTGCATCGGAGAAAGTAACCAAGGAAAGCGAGGATTTTCACGTGAATATACTGTGATGATCTCCAAGGAAAACTAGTGAGCTTCCTCTGACAAAGATGTTGATCATCACTAGATCCTGACTATGAGAGCAGCTGACCGAATTATAGAAAATAGAAGGATAATCAATCGACTACCAGCTTCTCTCGTTTCAGTGTGTGTGTATTTTTCAAGGTGATACAGTGATGTGGTGCGCTGAATCTTTGTGAGGAATTCTTGAATAAACTGTGAGTACCTAATCTTTTTCAATTTTTCATTGTTTATCTTGATATAGAACCAGAAATTTGCCCTACAGAACTATGATTCATTTTGTGGTTGTAACAAATGCCTTGGAGATATCAATAAGTGCCACGGCTGAGGTTTCACCATATTTTTCAATAGATTGCTGCCATATATGTAAGACGTAAGCGAGCAGGTCACCAGTTTATCTCTGATGACGGAAGCCATATTGCCTATCTTTGATAAAACCTGAATGTTCCAGGTATTTCATGAGTTCAATGTTGATAGCTTTCTCCATGATCTTTGAAATGATAGATAGCAGTGCGATCGGTCTGTAGTTGCTAGGTATTCAATATGTTCGTTGAAAGATAATTCACAATCCAGTTGTGTTCCAAGGAATTTTGTACAGTCTGATAATTCTAATCGCGGATCAAAAGATGAAGTTGGAGATAGTATTCGTTTGAGAATTGAATGAACCTACCACACAGCTATAGAGGTCCAACTTATTCAGTATTTAAGAAAAAAATACGTGATATAAGTACTGATGTAACATTGTTTTTATTCAGTTGATGAGTTTCTCCTCCACATGCCCTCCTGTACATGCCAGTTCGATGTTGATATTTGAACCATGGATTCATTCTCGTGTTTCATGTTTTATATTTGATATTTTATATTTTTGTAGTGCCTGTAGTTTCGATTGTAAAGTGTATCTGTGACGAGTGTGAAATTCTTGTGATTTTATATAAAATAAATTATCATCATCATTATCATCATCATCAACATTGTGTTATCCAAGTTGTTCATCAAATGATCACATCTACACCATGCTTCAAATTCATCAATGGACGTCTGGACTTGGAGAAGCCATGCACAATGACGGTAGCATCATCGGCATGATTTGATCGTCCGCCATATTGAATACACATTCTAGTCGTAAGATATAAATATAAGGAGTTTTGTAGTTACTATTCAAGTGTGAGATATCTTTTATATTATTTCGTGATTGACGTCAACGTCAGAAAAACATCATATTTTTCCGCTGTTGGGTACTTAAGAGAAACAAAATTCCATACTGAAATACATATATACGTTGCTATGGTGATTCGTCAAAAACCCAAATTTGATTGATTAAAAATTACTTTTGTGGAATTTTCTTTGAAATTTTCAATAAAAATTATATCATTATTTTCGTATAAGTCAGTATCTACCCAGATAGCACAATGTCATCCATAGAACGTTCATAGAATATTCTTCGAGAATATTTGAATTTTCTCAAAATATTCTCACAATATGATACAAATATTCTGAGGACGTTCTATGAACATTCGGACTGTTTCACTGTGAGATAATCAGCATTGAGGCTAGATAATTAAAGGTTGTTCAGAGTGAACATTTTGAATATCTATACAAGAATAGCAACATCAATATCATATATTTTGATACGATTCTGATTATTCTAAGAATATTCAAAGATAATATTCTCAGAATATTCTAAAAGAATATTCTGAGAAAATGTCGAGTTGAATGTTCAAAGAATATTCGTTGCAGAATGAGAATATTCTATGATCATTCTGGGAACATTGTATCAGAATATTCCAAAATGAGAATATTTGAACGTTGTCAGAATATTCAAAGGATATTCTGTGCTGTTTGGGTACGAATAAAATCATGCTTGACACACTAGACTCCTGAAAATATATAACCACTTGAGTATTTATTGAATAACTCTTTCAATTCTAGATACGTTGGAAGAGTCAATGATGCCTTGAAATGGTACTTCCTTGGAGAATTTGTGGTCAAATCTTATCATATAACAGTGACGCTCTCGAACGTAAGTTCGACATTTCAAAAAAAGTTCGACTAATGAATTCTTGTTATCTTATTTCAGGTGCTTGAAGCAACCAATTGGAGAGATTTAATTTATTACATTCCCTTTATGTTATCGGTAGTTGTTCAAGTTTTTGTGATTTACTATCATGTCAATGAGTTATTTTTGAAGGTAACTATAACCAACACATACAGCAGCTTCATCGTTGATACATTCCAGATATTTCGTGTTTCATCACCAAAATGTTTCAACTCACTTGAAACTCATGTTTTTATACATTCTATTCATAAGTTCTATCACTGCTGCACCAAATGATCCATAATTCAGCACATAACTATTCCAGAGATATACAGGGTGATTCACGAGTCACTGTACATACTAATGGTGTAGATAGTACATTCCTCGGCCATGAATGAATGGATATATAAATTGGTTCATTTGACGTATTCACCAAGATACAGGGTTGTATAACTTTGAGGCCATGATAGATTCACCTCATTTTTTCAATAGTTCGATCAATTCACCCGGAATGTTATACATTCAGTCTACTTATCAGAGTCAATTTTCTGAGATACCGAATGTAGCCAAATTCTAGTCCCGGACTTGGAGAATTTCAATCTGGGATCTCTTAGGAAAAGGACACCCTTCAAATTGAAATTTTCGATCTCTGCCTTTCATTCCTGAAACTACATGTATTAATGAACACAATAGAGTGAATAACTGCTTTGGCACATTCAGAGTATATTAAAAATATTGCTTTTCGAGAAACTTACCATTTATTTTATTCTACTCGAAACTGGAAACAAAGAACTGAATAAAATATCACAATAAATTTCCAAAATGCATTTCACCAGCCTTATTGTCGTATTTTTATACAGCTTAATGCTTGCTTGAATACAAATTCCATTGTGATTTTGATAGGTGTTTTCACACTGTCAAAAGGTCTGAGTGAAGTTTCAGGCAAACAAAAGATGAGAAAAAAAAAAGAGATACGGCCACCATTTTTTTATTTCTTCGAGCGTACGAAAGGGAATCCCTATAATATTCGGGGAACATCGTGGGTACCTAGGGAATAAAAGAGAGATGATTTTCCAAATATTTTCGTCTTAGAAGTTAATTCATAATTATTGGTATACGTTGTTTGAATGTTTGGTGCTACAATATGCGTCAGATTATCATTATTATTTATCTCTTGAAGCGCACCAAAGCAAATACGTATTATATTCGAGAAAAATCATGCACAGGCTACAACAGGAGGTATAGAGGTATTGAATTTTAAACTTTTCAAGATCTAAGAAACACTTCCTATAGTAAACTCAGTCCTTTAATGAGTTTTGGTAAAGAGTTGCTCGACATATTCAAGATTGGTGACAACAGAATGCGTTTTCTGAATTTGTTGAGTGCGTCTGACTGGTATTGCTAGCGATGGAATGATAGTAGGAATCTCTGAAAATTATTTTCTGTGTATCTGTAGAAAAGTGGAAGGTCGATGTCTTTTCGGTGATGTTACAATGTTGTTTGAGAATCAGTGAGTGTAGAAACACCAATCAGGCGAATGGGCTGTATCTCTGAATGAAATCTATATAGGAGCATCAGAGTATGTATGGATGTTGAACCCCATAATATGTAGGAACAGTACTCTGAAAAATATCATATCTGTATCTTGTATAGTAGCTTTTCGCGTGAAATAAAAATCATAGTTTTTTCGTTGAAACTTTCGTGATGGATCTGGGTGTCGTAGTATACTGATTGATTCCAATACTTGTTCAGAATCTTCATATAGTATCTTTATTTTGGGTGAAAATAAATGGTGCCCTGTGATCATTTTATATCAATGAAATTGGCTGAGATTCCGCATTTGGAAATCTTAGAAACACTTCCTATGATGAACTTAGTCGTTTTATGAGTTTTCATTTATGATGTTCAGATGTTTTCTAAGAATTAGTGAGTGTGGCATCGCTCACCAGGCGCATGGCTTGTCTCTCTGGTATGGCTTGTCTCTATAATGTGTGAGTGCTGAACCCATATAAGGAACAGTATTCTCAAACAGGTCGTATCTGTATTTTGTAGAGAAGTTTCTTGTCTGGAATGAAAATCCCAGTTTCTGTGAAGCAACGTTCGTGATAGAACTTTGTGTCATATATGCTGTTTGGATTCGATTGTTATTTATAATGAGCATGGGGAATCTTTATATCGGTTTGAAGAGAATGTCGCCTTGTGATTATTCTATTTTGATGAAGTTCAGAGATCACAATTCATAATTGGTTTATGTTGTTCATATTTCATTTGGTTAGAATGGTACGCCTGTTTTTGTGATGTTTTCGTCACGTTTTGACGCATGCGTAATATGTCTCCTCTTAATTATACATCATCTGCAAAACGCCTCATGTGTTAAGTGGTATCTATCAAGTGTCATCTATCTACATTGAAACTCTGCGCATATCAATGTATTTGCGTGCTAATCCTTAGGAGTACTATTTATATTTTCAATGGTTGATTGATGGATCTGTCACAGATCGTCGGTAACCATATTGTTCTCAGATATCGCAGTCGAGAACCTATGCATTGTTATAATGTAAAGTCATACGTCTCTCAAATAATATTTCATCTGATTCAGGTTTTTAATCGTCCTGTATATTATATTTTTCCTCGTGGTGGTTCATATATTGTTGAAAACATATTTTTTGTCCGCTAAACATGCATTATCAACGTTTAATTGGAAGATAGGAAGCTGTTATCAGGTTTCCCGCTGACTATCAAGTTTCTATTTCTATATTTGTTCAGTCATATCGTGGACGTTATGTGAAATTTCTCGTCGATTAAATGGCGTTGTTTTTTAAAAATGCCGTTTGTGTGAATTATTTGTGATGGTAGTGATGTGTGCTTCCAAAGAAACATGTACGGGGATATGAGAATGGCGGTTTTTGTTTTATCTGAATTGTCTTCTCACTATTTTCATTCATTATTCAGATTTTCATCGAATCTAAGCCTGCTAAGGTGAAAAAAGCTAAAGGTAAATGCTTTATAACCACATTTTTTTATATACTGGGCTGTATTGGAATAAGCGTGAAAATTTCGACCCTCGAGACATTTCATTGGAACACCGTAGAAAGGTCGGCGACCTTTCACTTTTCTATCGATACTTCCACGGGAAATGTTCTTCGGAAATCTCTGCTATCATCCCTCCACTAGCAATACCAATCAGACGAACTAGACAAGCCCAGTCAGCACATCCTTTCGTTGTCAACCTCGAAAGATGTCGAACAGCACTTTATCAAGACTCCTTCATCCATAGAACGGCTAGGCTCTGGAATTCATTGCCTGTGGAAGTATTCCCAACAACATATGATCTCCAAAAGTTCAAAAAAAATTCCAATACCTACCTCCTGTCCCTATCCCTCTAGGAATGATGACAAAGAGTGAGTGAGTGTGGCGTCACCCACCAGGCGGATGGCTCTTCTCTGGATGGAATCTAAGAGCATCAGCGTATGTTTTGGTGCTGAACCCCATATGTGGGAACAGTATTCTAGAACAGGCCGTATCTGCGCTTTGTAGATCATAAGAAGCTGTTGGGGTGTAAAGTAGCTTTTCGCACGGAACAAGAATCCGAGTTTTTGTGAAGCAGCTTTTGCGATGGATCTGACATGATTATCCCATGAAAGAGTGTTGCTGATGGAAATATCGAGCATAGATATGGTGGGCTTGGTGGGGATGGTGGAGCCAGACATTAAAATATCGGGCATACTGAGTTCCGCCTTTCTAGAGAAAATGCAGGCTCGAGTTCTGGTGGCGTTGAATTCAACTAGGTTGTTTGTTCCCCAGGCTGTGATTTCAGCGAGATCTTCATTGACAGCATTGACCTGCCTGCGCCGTGAGTTCTTAGTTTCCTGGGAAGAAATGAGGATTCTGGAAGAGAACGCAGTATGGAGGGTACTATCATCTGCAAAGCTGTGGATGGGGCAAGTTGTTACTCCCAACAGATCATTAATATGAAGCAGGAATAATGTTGGTGCCAAAATTGATCCTTGTGGAACGCCGGAATTGATGCTAATGGTATCAGACGATACACCGTCCACCACCACGTGAAGCGATCTGCCTGAAAGAAAACTCGATAAGAGATCGCATAGCTGAGGTGGTAGGCCGTATGATGGTAGTTTGTGGAGGAGTCCTTCGTGCCAAACACGATCGAATGCTTTCGATATGTCCAACGCGACAGCTAGAGATTCCCCGTGTTTTTCTATTGAAGATTGCCATAAATGGGTGACGTAGGCAAGTAGATCTCCAGTAGATCTTCGGTGGCGAAAGCCGTATAGTCTATCATTGATGATTCCTGAGCTGACAACCATAGGAGGTGTTCTGGGTGTATCTGGTAAAAATTCGATGTGTTTCATCTATTCTCAGTATCTTATGAAAACGAAACAAATGAAACAATGGTGAATTGACAAGTGATAGAATGTCAGTGTAATTCTATCAATGTCAATTTGAAGATCTGCGCATGCGTATTGGGAACTAACTTATGTGTAACATGAACTAGACATTTTTTCTTAAGTATAATTCATAAGTTGAATCAAATTAAGATAAATTGAGTTAAAAGTGTAAGCAACCAATCCAACACTCCTAGTTTTCACACCAAAAAGCATACTGCTCTCATTCAGTGGAGGATGCAGAATGCGAAACTATGCATGAATATGACCTCAACTCAATTGTTTTCGCATTTTCAGAGCACAAATTTGGGCATGAGAATATACAAGGGCAATTGGTATGACCAAACTTCTGAAGTGACGAAGAGTCTTTTGATTGTGATGTCCAGAGTGCAAAGACCATTTGTACTCAGTATCGGCAATTTTCGAGTGATCGACAATGATCTGTTAGTGAGCGTTAGTATAATATACAATCTGGATTGTAGTGCTCACTTTGTTTTGATATATTTGTTTTTTTCAGATGACCCAAGCTGCTTATACGTTCGTATTGTATCAGATGATTTAGACGTTTTCAAAAAATGAGGAAGTTTCCTTCTATTGACTTCATCAACTTAGTTTTACACTGATCGGTTTCAGTTTATGCAATGTAGAATGCCTAATGGGGTCAATTATGCTTTCGAATTAGTGCAATTTAGTGCATTTAGTGATTTTCAGGTTGCAAAGAAGTACTCGATGAATCTGTCGATGAATCTAGTATGAATATATATATAGGTATGTTAAGTTTTGCTATCCGGGATCGCTCGCAATATTTGATGCGTTCAGTCTCATACTAAAATTCTTCGATACAAATAATAATTCAGTGCCTATCAGCATTTTGTGCATATGAAAATATTATGACATCCATGTACATACGTGACAACCTACTACATATTGTAGTCACTTCGTTTTGTTGTTGGACGTTCCTTATTTGATTGAAAAATTGACCAATTGGCGAAAAAAAATGACATCTTGAGGACCTCGAAGAGTAGTCAAAATGTCAGAGCCATAAGACGTCAGACTGACCTATGGAGGACTATATTGAGAACATTTAAGGGCATAAACCGGGTGTCAACGAATCTATTAGACAAGTCATAACTTCTAGACCATTGAGTGTATCAAAATGAGATTTGGTATAGGTAAATGGTATGTGAAGTGGAGAGTTTTCACATATTTTTCACTTTCCGGTCACTTCTTGTTTCACCGAAAATGGCTACGGTTCTAAATTTTTAAATGGAACACCCTGTATATTGTAACATTTTTGGATTTCTGAGACAATTCTAGATCAGAATGTGACATCTTCGAGAGTTTCTATGCCTACTTAATTTTTTCGAGGTCACTTTTGAAATTACATCTAGGTGGCCATGATTTGAAGTAAACTAATCCAATGACCTCAGGTGATATCAGAAAACTACAATCGCGACGAAGTTTGATATATATGAATGAGACAAGTTGACAAAATTACATTTCTGTATCTAACTATTATTTTTCAAATGGCTACCATTTTTTGACAAGCACTTTCCGAAAAAAGGATATTTTGACGAATCTAACGATACTAATTTATTCGCGATTGGATCAACGAATTTAACAAAATTAACAAGAACACTTGATCGAAATAACTGTAAAATATTATGCATCATGCCTATCCTCGGCACACTTGACAAAAGTAAATAAATTGTTATGAAGTATTTTCGTCAGTAATATTTAATTTATGTTCTTATTTGTAATCCAATCGCAAATAAATTAGTATCGTTAGATTCTTCAAAATATCCTTTTTTCGGAAAGTGCTTGTCAAAAAATGGTCGCCATTTGAAAAATAATAGTTAGACACGAAAATGTAATTCAGCCAACTTGTTTAATTCATATTTATTATACTTGTCACTAAAACTTCTCGATTGTAATTTTCTGATATCACCTGAGGTCCTTAGATCAGTTTACTTCCGATCATGGACACCTAGATGTAATTTCAAAAATGACTCCGAAAAAATTTAGAAGGCATGAGAACTTTCAAAAATGTCACATCCTGATCTAGAATTGTCTCAGGAATCCAAAAATGTTACGATATACAGGGTGTTCCGTATAAAAATTTAGAACCGGAGCCATTTCCAGTGAAACCAGAAGTGACCGGAAAGTGAAAAATATGTGAAAACTCTCCTCTTCACACACCATTCACCTATATCAAATCTCATTTTGATACACCTAATGGTCTAGAAGTTCCCAGGTAACACGGATCTCTCCGCAATATCTCTAAGTAGTTATCTTCAGGATCAAAATGCGAAATCCTCCGGCGAGGTGTCAAAGATCACTATAGGCTCTCACCATGGGAAATACTCTCTGGAGTCGTCCGAAAGAAATCGCGGAGATCTCGCCTCAGATTTGATATATTCCTCATTATTGCGAATCCTTGAGGTTATCAATAACAGGAAATGAATAGGCATTTCTTTCTGCGAGCACCCAAGGATATCCTGGACGTAACAAGATCGAGAATTTCCCATTGCGAGCTCCTAAAGTAATCACAAACATAACCTGAATAATTAATGAATATTCTTACAAAAATATTGAGTTGTTTTTTTCGATAGCCTTTATAATTCAAATACTGGGTGTCCCAAGTTATCGTTTACAGGCAATATATCTCGCCTATTTGTCAAGATATCAAAAGCATTAAAAAACTGCATTAAATGGCATTGAATAACCTTCCTAATGGCTTATGAAGAATGTGATATATTTGGCAGCCCCGGATGGTAGATACTGATCAGTTTTTATTTTCTTGTAGCATATTAGTATCTGAAAATTGCGTGTCAATCTATTTGGAATACAACGATATAGCACATACTTGGTGTTTTGTTCTTGATAACAATAAAAACATGAACATTTTGTGACTTTTTTCGTTACTCAAATGACAAATTGCTTTCACCCATGTGTTCAAGAAGTTCACAAATAAGAAGTATGGATTGCATTTTTGTTTCAAAATATTAATGACAGATATTCCATTTTGACCTGCAGAACATCAATCATTGCAGACGGTACCTACCTAGTGTAATAATTAATCTAATTTCATTGTGGGACATTTTTACGAACATGGGAGGAGGCAATTTTCAATCGATGTAACGTAAATGAGGTCAAAAATTTTTATTGTTAATGTTGTTATTAATGAACAAAATACAAAGTACCGATGTGCTATCGTTCATTCCCGAAATAGGATGATTGGCAATTTTCAATGACAATATACAGGGAGTCCATTAAATGAAAATTGAGGAGTTGCTACCAGGTGGCTGATGTCCAATCTAATACACTTTTTTTTGAGTCATAAAGAAAGTTCTCTGATGTTATTTGAAGCATTTTTACTATTTTTCGTTCATCTTGTCGAGTAAGCAAATTTTTGCCGGTACCTTTACGATAACTTGGGACACCCAGTATTAACATGAAATGGGAGTCATTAATCTATGATAATAATAATTGTATATACTAGAAACTAGATTTTCTTACTGTCTCAGAGAATGTGTTCAACAGGTCATATTATTATCTCTCCGCCATTATGTAAGATTATTTCAAATTTTGCAGTGAATTAATGATAATTAATTATCTGCTCTGACGAAAAACACAAAAATGTTCCAATTCAGGTGGGATCAAGAATCAAATATCTACCTCAAATTCGTGGGTAGATATCGGACGACCTTTTTTTTAAAGAATACCCGGCCAACTCCTCGGAGATTTTTTCGAGTGATAAAGTTTACTTGATCAATGTCTTGCTATAGAATAATATATTAAAGCTCATGATCTAACTCTAAGTTTGGTAACTCAATCTTTTTCGCTGAAACAAATATCCAGTAAATTTAACTCCACCCCAAACAATATAGCTGGCGCTAGTTAGACTTCGCCGACAGGAGACTGCTGATAACCAATGACTTCTCAAGAATTAAACACCTTACCATAATAGGGGCGATCATGTGGCGATTGATGCAAATATCGCTCTTAAAGGCCTCGTTATAAGGTGATGTGCACGGATTCTTGAACAATTCATAGTTGCGAGCACTTGAAGAGTTCGCTATTAGTAATTGATGCGAATTTCCCAAAGTTCTCTTCACAAGGCGATGCGTGCGAAAATCTCAAACAGCTCGTAGTCGCGAGCACTTAAAGACCTCGCCAGAAGCAATTGATGCGAATCTCCCAATGTCCTCGTCACAAAGCAATGTATGCGAATTTCTCAAACAGCTCATGATTGCGAGCACTTTCAGTTATCGCCAGTGGCGATGGAAGCGTATATCTCAAAGTGCGCGCCTGAGGGAATTGTATGAGAATTTCTGCGTGCGATATCTTCAAGAACTCGCTGAGCTCAGCCTAGGTGGCGGACATTTGGCCTAGATATAGCACTCTCGGCGATCTCTCGAAGAAGTTACAAAAGGCATCACAATTTCCTAAAAGGATTTCTTCAAGATATCTTTAGGACCTCTTTGTGCTGACTGGGATTATGACTGGTCTAATAGATTCGTTGACACCCGGTATTTGCAGTCACCAAGGTCATCAGATGACGTTCGATGACATTAAAAACTACGGGAAAATATGTCTATCTTTCAATTCAGGGCAGGGGTTAGGGATGTTTTCCCGTAGCTTTCATGTCATCGCAACGGCACTGGGACGATATAGCGCAGGACAAAATAGCGCGGACAAAAGAGCGCAGGACAAAATAGCGCAGAGACGAAATAGCGCAGAGACGAAAAAGCGCAGGGTCATAATATCGCAGAGACGAAATGGCGCAAAGACAAAATAGCGCAGGGTCATATTAGCGCAGGGACATAATATCGCATAGATGAAATAGCGCATCAGGAACAAAATTGCGCGCGAAAATGGAGTGCAGGATCTATGATTAGGTTTGTTCGTTTGTTAGAGTAAAGACTCATTCTTCAAATACAAGGTGTTTCAAAATGAGTCCATACCCTAGCAAACAAACTAACCTAATCATAGGTCTACTTTAACAATCCAACGGCATACCTAGTATTAAGTTACTTCGTTTGTAATGGTAGTCTCCTTTTGAAACATCTAGTATTTGAAGAAATAGTCTATGCCCTGACAAACGCTATTTTGTCTCTGCGCTATTTCGTCTCTGCGCTATTTTGTCTCTGCGCTATTATGTCCCTGCGCTATTATGACCCTGCGCTTTTATGTCCCTGCGCTATTTTGTCCGCGCTATTTCGTCCTGCGCTATTTTGTCCTGCGCTATTTCGTCCCAGTGCCCATCGCAACGTCAGATGATGACCTTGACTAACGTGAATAAGGTTTTATAACATAATTTCACTCTATTAACCTTGGTGAGATTCATTGATGAGTTAGTCCCTCCGGGTGTTATCCAGTTCGATCCTGGTGTTATCACCGGTTCGCATCTCTATGTAAGAAAAACATTGGCTATTCATATTTGTATCTGAAATCATGTAGCGATCGTCAGTGAGATGTAAGCGGAATAAACGAAAAAAATACGTACTAATTTTTTATTCGGTAATACGGAAGAATGTTGGACCAAAAAACGACGTGATT